AACCGCGTTATGTGGTGCGGTTTGGTGCGGGCGGTTTGTGCGGTTTTTTGCGGTTTATGCGGTTTGAAAAAGGATATGTATTTTTAATATTATGTACATAAAATTTATACATAAATATATTAGTTATAGAATCAAGATAAGTTGGTTTTGCCAATGTTTTAACAATACTAGTCATTGTTACATTAGACAATCAGATAAATAATCTATCACAAATTTGTTTACAAAAATTGAAATTGGTGATATCAAAATTCATTAGTAATAAAACCAAATTCGTATCTTCTGTGTAATTTTTATGTGTTTGTATTATATATATATATATATATATATATATATATATATATATATATATGCGGTGCGGTTTGAACCGCATTGTTATAATTGGAAACCACAAACCGCACCGCATAATGCGGTTTAACAAAATTTCAAACCGCAAACCGCACCACACTAGTTCTAAACCGCATTAGGCGGTGCGGTTTGGTGCGGTGTGGGCGGTTTATGCGGTTTGTGCGGTTTGGTGCACACCCCTACTTATTGGTATGGTCACATTAACAATAATATTATTATGGTTGCATTTTTAGTAAGATATTAAAACTAACACCTCTACTCCAACACCCTTTGCAACTACTCACTTAGACCATGTCGAACCTATTTTTTTCTATGTCAAAATGACGTAAAAAATTGTGTAAATAGTATATTATTTTCAAATCTACATCATTTTTTTACATCAAAAAATATATTTCATAGAATATTTTTTTTATCTTATATAGATTATCAAATACCCTCTTTGATTTATTATCTTTTTACAACTTTTTTGTGTAAAAACTTTATAAAATATTACTATTAATTTATAACCATTTTTTATTATTTAAGATATATATGTCTATTTTATTTTATTTTATAAAATATGTTATTTTGTTTTAAAACTTTTTGATATATAAATTTTTAAATAAATTCTAAACCGTCATAGTAACTTTTATACTTATGAGAAGCTATTATGAGGTTAATACATAACATAATATTATATGAATAATTATTATATTTAAAATAAACAAATTCTACTAGAATATAACAAATATTAAAAATGATAGACTAAAATGGTCAAATAAAAAGTTTACACCATTGTGATATATTCCCTAATAAATGAAACTAATTTTATCATTTATCATCCTTTTATGTATTATGTCTCACGTTATTTTGTGGTAAATTTACGTTAAATTATATATCCATGTATCATTTTGTGGTTTTTTTCCATTTTACTAATTTCATATAATATAATACTTAAATGTAATAAATATAATAATAAATGTATATCCAATTCATTACTGCAACTTTTCTTATAATTTCTAAATTTCTTAATTGAATCCAATTAGTTTAGTTGTTTATTTATTTAAATTATTAGTTTAAATTTAAAAGATAAATAAGCATTTCAATTTTAATAATTAATATTTTACTTTTTTTTTTCTCTTATAAGTTTAAATTTTCTAAATTGTTAGATTTTCATTTTTGTTTATTTTTTTTAAAACTCATATAATACATGGGTGTCACAACTATTAAATGAATAACATAACATCAAATTTGTTGTTATACTATGCATTCACACAAAAAATATATATATGAAAATGAAACGGGATTGGAAATGATTCTAACACCATTTTGGTGTAAAAAAATAGATTTTGATTTGGAGTTAGTGATACCCTTAAAACACCAACACCTCCTTTTCTTTTCCTTATTCCTCTTTTTGGCACTAAATACAAACACCTCTACTCCAAATCTCCATGTAATCATTGTGAACTTTCAAATTTTCACCTTTAACCTCCAAGTCTTTCACTCTTCGTCGTAAGAACCTTAGTTAATAAACTCGAAGATCATCTCGCAACCCCTCTCTTCTTGTTCTCATGGGTAGCACCCATCTCAATAATACCCGAACAAAAAACAATGCTTCCAAAGTCCTTTAGAGAAAACCTTATCCAAAGTTCTCATCTAATTGTAAACTTATCCAAATTCCTTTGGGAAAAACATTTAACAATGTTTCGGTTTGATTTATAACATTATTTTGTTTTGTTATATCACAAAATTTGGGTTGACGCAAACACACAACAAAAAAAATGTACTTGTACCAGGCATGCCCATGATTTTTCAAGGCCTTCTACGAAAATAAAATTAAGATCCCATAAAAAATTATTATAAAATGTTATTAAGCCTAAAGCCATATATGGGTCTTCACTCGTTAGTCGTTACTAATATTCACTCATTACTAATAAAATGAAACTCTTACAAAAAAAAAAGCTTTCCAAAGAAGATAAACAGACAGTGAATTGTTATTTTTTAACCATCGTATTCTAGCATTTTTATATAAGCAAACATATATTATATTGTTATAATAAATATTTTAAAGAAACATTTTATGTAGAGACATAGTAGAACAATAAGATTTTAAAAGTTTTAGTTTTAGAAAACTTATTTTCACTAATGCAATTGTAATAGAAACAACCAACAATATTGTGTATGCTAGCCAAGAAACTAGTGTTAGGCTTTGGGTTTTGAATATCAATCAATACTTCGATAATTTTAAGGAGCGTGTATAAGAAGCACTTTCCAAAATCTGTGATCTCCACCTTTTTTGGGGTATCATGAAATCCGATTTAAGATAATCCAAGAACAAAAAATTACATGTATATTCCAATTCTAAAACACAAAATATACCTTGCAATTGATGTGTTTTTGCAGAGACCAAGTTGCAGAGAGAAGAAAACAATTTTTAGATGTTCTAAAGCATTCTAATCTTCTTTTATATGTAGAAGATGGTGGTTAGTAAGGAAAACAATGCCCTTTTAAAGGACACGAATATTGGGTTATTTAGCTAGAAAAGTTGAGCTCTGCCCCTTAGACACTATTAGGGATGATGCACCTAGATCTTACCAGGGGCAATGCCCATTGGACCCAATCAGGGACTCTGCTCGTGGACCCCTATGTTTCCAAGTTCTCTTAAGTTATTCATGTAATGCCTTGAAACATAACTAAAAGTTCATACTGCTTGTATTGCTCAAACCTTCACTCTAATGAACCAATAGTTTTATCGACTATGTACATAAAATACTAATACATGAATGGTTTTTTGAGGTGAAAGTTCATGTATTAGTTCTAATGACTTATTGCCTCTCTTGTCAAAATCTATTTTCTTAAAAATCCTTTTTTTATTATTTTCCTCATCAAACACCATATTAACTCCAAAATTTGAAACTATAATTCTAGCTTAATTCAATGTCTTCTCAAACCCATGGTCTTGGTAGTTCCTTGGATATGTAAATGTTTTTACATTAAAAATTATAATTGATATTAATAATACATTTAAGAAACTTAATTTTTATTGTTAACAAAACATGAATTATATTAGTAGCATGAAACAATACTTATAATTAATACATTTGATAGTTTATTTGATTTCCTTCCTTTTATAGTTTATTTTAGAATTTTTAGTCTTTTTTTATTAGTATTGCATTATATATTCTTTATTTTCTTTATTGTGGATCGTGTCAGGTACTTTCTATTTTGCATGAAGTATTGTACAGGGTTTTAGAGTCTCGGTGCGGTTGCGATTTGGCTTGGAGATGGGCGTGGTGGGCTTTAGAGGCGTCATTAGGGTTTACAAATCCATCAAAGAGGAATCAGGCTTAAAATGTTGAAGACTTGAATGAAGTGGGCTTATAAAGATGGCACATGGACTAAAGAATATGGAATTGGATTATCCATTTGAAGCTTGAAGATGATTTGCCAAAATTAAATCATATGAGATATGGAGGGGACCAAAGGAATCTTGAGTAGTAAGATGGTGTAGTGGAGAAAAAGTACCAATAGCATACCAACGTTGTTTACGATGGTGGAGTCTCACTCTAACAACTTTGCGAAGGTACCCGCGTAACTGGATACTTTGGGGCATTTTAGTCATTTTGCTCATCATTTACCTTACGGGTTAGGTTTGACAACCACACTTCGATTTTCCACCATTGGAGCACCTTGGAGGTGATTTTTGAGAGCTTAATCTATATTATTCTCATCATTCTAGTAATTGTTAGTTTCTTGATGCAAAAACATTTTTGTGATTGTTATGTTGTTGTCATGAGTGGCTAATCTTTTTATTTTGGTTAACTTTGGTTAAAACCCTTGGATATTTGTGGGTTTTGAAGGATTCATGATTGGTTGTCATTTATCTTATGTTTATGATTTTAGTTCATAATTCTTATGCTTATTTGATACTTTGATCACGAATTTGATATTTGAATGAGTAATTGTTGTTTTATTTATTTGCTTTAGTATTGAATCATTGAATTTAATTAGAACAAGAGTTTTATGATTATAGAAATCATCGCTAACTTATGAATCATAACCCCTTTATGGATGTGTAATCATTGACATGAACCATTCTCTCTTCTATATCCAAATCCTTTCAAAAAAAATTATAGGGAATACACATATTTTCCTCTTTACTTTTCAATTTTCTCCATTTCTCTTCACTTCCCTCCAACAATTTAATTATGCAATGCAGCTACAACAATCTTCGTGCAGTAAATGTTACTTTGTTTGGCATGCATGTCGTCCTGTGATCGCAAATATTTTATGGACTATTTCTGCAAGAAACCAAACAAATATGGGTACATAAGTCCTTCACAAACACTTTAGGGACTATTTTTGTAAGAAACCAATTAAACACAAACTCCAATCATTGTTTTGTCATCTATTCACAATCAGATGTTTAAGTCAATGTTTACTCCCTCTGTACCACATTCTGCTATTGGCTGTGATGAAGTCTTCCTGCTAGTCGTCTGCAATCTACCGAAACCAAATCACGGTAATTACTTTCCGTTCGTGTAAACATTCTTGTTGCCTTTCAGTTAAATCCTTCATTTCTGCTGTCAATTCTTATTTCAGGTTTGATTGTATTCTTCCGATTTACAAGGTCACGTATTCAAAGATAAGTCCCTTTTTCAAGAAAAGAAGAACAGATGGTTGCGTTACTAGCATTTTTAGTCCCTTTAGTGGAGGTTAGTTTAAAGATTGGACAATGGTTGTGTGGTCCAGTTAAAAACCAACATGGGTATCTTTTTAACTACATATCTAACATTGGGAAACTTAGAGATGGTGTCGAAGATCTTGAAAATCGTAGAGCTAGTGTTCAGCATTCAGTTGATGCTGCCATGAGAAATTTAGAGGTTATCAAACCAGACGTATTGGCATGGATGAATGGAGTTGATGAGTTGAAGAAAGAGGCAGATAAAGTTTTACAAGCTACTACAACGGATTCGGTTCAGAAATGGTTCTGGTGTTTTTGTGGTCGATTTCAAAATATCAAATCACGGTATTCACGGAGTAAGAAGGCTGTGAAGATGATGGAAGATGTGAAACAACTCCAGGAGAAGTACAAATTCACTAACGTTTCTAATCCTCCATTGCCTGTAGAAATCACAGATTTCAACCATTTGAGTTATTCTGAAGGGTTTGGATCAAGGGTCTCGATTAGAACTGAAATCATGGAATCTTTGAAAGATGACGCTGTTTGTGTGATTGGGGTATGTGGAATGGGTGGCGTGGGGAAGACAACAATGGCAAAAGAAGTCGGAGCAAGAGCTAAGTTAGAGCATCTATTTGACGTCATTATCATGGTAGATGTCACTCAAGCACCCAACAAGAACACAATTCAAAATAATATCTCAGAACAGTTGGGATTAAAACTGCAAGAAGAGAGCTTGTTGGTAAGAGCAGCTCGGATAAGTGCGAGGTTAAAAATGCTTACAAGGGTGCTGGTGATATTAGACGATATATGGTCAAGGCTTGACATGGAGGAACTTGGGATTCCCTTTGGATCAGATAGACAACACCACGGCTGCAAAATCTTGTTGACTTCAAGAAGTATTAGTGCTTGTAACCAGATGAGAGCTGATAGAATCTTTAAAATACGAGAAATGCCACTGAATGAAGCATGGCTTCTTTTCGAAAGAACAGCTGAAAAAGCTTTTCACCCAGATCCGAATCTGCATCAAGTAGCAAGAGATATCGTGGAGGAGTGTGGTGGGTTGCCACTTGCCATCGTGACAATTGCAAGAGCTCTTGAGAGCGAGAAGGACAAGTCTATGTGGGATGATGCGCTTCAGAGACTAAGAAGCTACGACCTTGAAGGAGAGTATGCTTCTGTGTACTCGAGTCTTGAAGTGACTTACAATTTTCTAGAAAGTGATGAAATGAAACACGTGTTTCTTCTATGTTGCTTGTTTCCTGAAGGTCATGATATTTCCATCGAGGATTTGCTAAGGCTTGGGTTAGGGTTAAGTTTGTTTAAGAAGACAACTGGGGTTAGTGAAGCTAGGATCCGAATAAATGCTTTTGTTCAGAAACTAAAGAATTTGAACTTGTTGTTAGATGGAAGTGATCATGAACAATCTGTAAAATTGCATGATCTAGTACGTGATTCTGGTCTTAAGATTGCTTCCAAGAACAAACATGTTTTTGTTGTCAAACATGGTGATGGATTAACGTTTTGGCCATCTGAGCTCACTGACGAATGTTGCACTTCCATCTCTCTAAGATGCGATGAAATGTTTGAACTTCCGGGCAGGCTTAACTGCCCGAAACTCGAGCTTTTGCTTTTGATTGGTGGAAATCACCCGTTGGAGTTCCCGACTGGTTTTTATGAAGGTATGACTGAACTCAAAGTGATAGTTCTTAGGGGAATGTTAGTTCAACTTCAATCCTATCCTGTATCATTTGAAGTCTCGAGCAAACTCCGAAACTTGTCGTTAGAATACTGCACTTTTGACAAAACTAGTGATATATCAATGATAGGAAATCTACTAAAACTGGAAACTCTAAGCTTTCTACACTCCGATGTTAAAGAATTACCCGAAGAAATTGGAAAGTTAAGCCAATTAAAAGTACTTGATCTAACAGGGTGTGGAGATCTCTTTAATATAGCTCCTGGAGTTTTGAATAGTTTGATCCAATTAGAAGAATTATACATGAGTGGAACCCTTGTAAGTTGGCCTGATGAACAAATCACAACATGTATTACAGAACTCAACTCGTTATCTATGTTGACTGCGTTAGAGATTGAGCTATCCATTTATGATCTTCTTCCACATGACTTCATCTTCAAGAGGCTAAAAAGATTCAGGATATGTATTGGGTTTTCCATTGAGAGCAAGATGTTTCAAAACATGCTGCAAGTACGCTTTCCAGCTCACTGGAGAGATGGTGGAATAGAAGTTCTATTCAACAGAACTGAAATCTTGCATTTACATGGTTGGCGTTTGTTAACAAATTCAAGCCTCAAGAATCCTTCAAGAGCCAACTTTTTGATGTTGAGAAACTTAAAGCTAGAACGTTGTGATTTGTCCTATTTGACAGAAATATGTCAGGGCCAAAACCATGTTGTGGGTGAAATTACAGTCGATGAACCTGATCACCAGCTTCCTTTGTTTGAGAATCTACATGATCTTGAAATTATACGATGTGTTAATTTAAGACGTGTTTTCTCTCTATCTGCTCCAACGGATTTTCGTAAGCTTGAAAGTCTCAAGATTATTGGGTGTGAAATGATAGAAGAAATTTTCTTGAGGAAGAAAGATGAAAAATCTGTTGTTGAGATTCAGCTTTTAAATCTGAAATCCTTGATTCTTGAAGATCTCCCGCGTCTAACTGGTTTTTGCAAAGACGTTTTTTCATTTGCGACTCCTCAACTGTTGGAATTCCGGCTGCGCAACCTTCCTAAGCTTCAGTCATTAAATCAAAAGGTTCGCCTCTTAGTATTATTAATGTAACATTTATTGACGCGATGTGTTTCTAACTGATGTTTGATCATTGCAGATTCTTTCAACTATGCAACTGAAGGTTTTATCAGTTTCCAAGATGAAGATCAACGAGATACAGAACCATCTTCTTCCTGTTTCATGTTTTGTCAACTTAAGGGTAATGTCATTGTGCTACTGTGATGATCTATCAAGTGTCGTTCTTTCTGGGCTTTTACAAAAGCCAAAGGATCTCAAAGTACTACGTATTGAACGTTGTCATATGGTAGAAGTGGTCTTCGACATAGATAGGTTGATAAGAGAAGATCATGAGGTGCTTAAAAATCTGAGCGACTTGGAGCTCGAACATCTGCCTGCGATGACACATATCTGGAAGCATGGCCCTGAAACTTTCGTAGGGTTTCAGAATCTGACTAAACTCTCAGTAGCTAGTTGTCATAAGTTAACTTACATACTCTTGCCTTCAATAGCCACGATTCTTTCACATCTTCAAGAATTATCCATAACTGAATGCCGGAATCTGACAGTGATTCTCAAGGAAGAAGATGAACATAAGGCCACCGAATTAACAAGTGAGAGTCATGAACTAGTGTTCCCTCGATTGAAATCGCTAGACCTCATTGATCTTCCATGCCTAAGGTGTTTCTACTCCTCGGGGTTGCATGGCTTTATATGGCCATTACTTGAATCGGTGTGGATTGATTGTTGCAAGGAGATGATGGTTTTCACTGCTGGAACCTCAAACACACCGAAGCTTAGGGAAATTTCAATTAATGGACAAAATCATAATATGGAAGGAGACATAAACACCGATCTAAGGTGGCTACAACAACAGGTTTGTTCCACAATTTTTAGGAATTTTTTATATAAAGTACTATGTTTTATTTTACTTTACCATCATTTTTAGATTGTGGGTCTTCTTTATTTTGTGGTTCTTTTACTTTATTCCGGATAAACAAAGATTGGACTAACAGAGAAATGAAGAAAATTATATATTTAGCCATGTCTATAAGCTAGAAAAAGGCTTAAATTTTAATTTCATTCCTCTCTTCCCGTATAATATCCATCTTTTTTCTGTTTTGTAGTTGAATGATGGTAACACAAGTGATTCTACCTTCACAAGCTCACTCGTGGAATGACTACCTAGCTCAACAGGGGGAGTCAAATATCAAAATCAATGTAGCCATGGAAGACAAATCTCCTTCCTGTTGTATCTGTCTATTGGTTCAAGGTTCATAATTATGGAATATATTATATATTGTATTAGGTTAATATCCGTTAAAAAAACATTATTGATAATTTAAAATGGTAATGAGTAATAATAGATCAAAGATTTATAAAAAATTTATTAAATTACAAAGATAGAAGTTTTGTCTATCCCTATTATCTTTACTATATTATTAAACATATTGCCTATTTCTTGAAAATTAAGAGGTACAATAGGTATTCCCTCATGTACAATAACATTAAGCTTATAATCACATTGTATACGTATTGCACGATATTACGTTGTTACCCTAATCTCCTCTACACACAACCGCTGCTATCAAATCAAATCTCATCCGTCTCTGTTTATCTCTTCACCCCCACGACGTCAAGTGTTCTTCCCTGGCAACATCACACACAAGCAGCACACCACCGCTTATCTTCACCAAAGATGTAATCGACACCCTGGAAGTCCACCGTTTCCGTCACCGCTGCCCGCCACTTCTACCTTTTGTCAAGACGAGTAGCCCTAACCCTATCATCTGCCACGATCAACCACTGATAGGTTGTCGTTCGATTGTTAGCAAACCACCTTTTCATTCGATTCTTAGCAAACCACATCGATCGGCCGTTAGTTCATCATCTGCAACCACATTTCCAACAACGGAAGGGGCCACGATGGGCCCATCTAAAGCTTTTGTGGCGATGTACAACCTCAAAGATGCATACAGTTTATGGGATGTATTAAACACTTCCCCTGTTTGGCAAGATTGAATTTTTCATGCTCTTGTTGCTCTCTATGGCAATGGTCGTCATTCTGCACTTCACATGGCTTCTTCCAATGGCTGGATCGAGGTGTGTAGTTCAAGAATTTATTTATTTTCTTACTTTATTTTTTTGTTATCCCTTGATTAATTTGTTAAATTTTTCATTCAATGTGTGGATTTTGTTCAAATTATTTCTATGGTTTTGGACGATTAGTTAGTCAATCCCTATAAACAGGTGTGTTTCAGTAGTCTATTTTAATTATAATTCGATTTTTTTTGTGTCAATTTCATGAATCAGATGCAATGTATATATGGTTCATGATCTTATGGAAATTGGGTGATTTTCTTAATTCCCACTTTCTTCTTTTTCTACTGATTTTGTGTAATTTGGTTGATGTTGGCTGCGAGATAGACTCCATTGATGTGGATTGCAATGAATGAGAAGATCTCTTGTGAACAAAAGCTGGTTGAAGTTGGGCTAATGTATGTCAATTTTTATCCTTTGACATAGTCACCCCTCAAAAAACACACAGAAACCCATGCATGTATGTGTTCATGGTGTCAATGACAAGCTCTACTGAAACCTCAAAATGGCTAACTTTATCCGTCACACTTGCCCTCGCCACTGTTCCTACATTTGATGTCGTATCAGGTAACATATTCTCTTGTCTTCATCAACGTGTGTAGGTTGTAAATAATATATGATTCAATTTGATATCTTTTATTTTACTATTAGAGTAAGAGAACAAAATAAGATCCTGATGAATAAACTTCTAAAGGAAATTCATATATCTCGGAAGGAATCATTAGAAAAGTGTGTTGCTAAGAAGAAAGGCAAAAATAGAGCTCAAAAGGTTGCACAAAACAAATTCCTTTTTGGTTTTGGAAATGTGTCCCTTATTTTGCTATTTCATAACTCATTTGTTTTAATTTTAAACAATTATTTGAATATGATTTAAAAAAAGAAATGATCCAAGCTAAAACAGACAACTTAGATAAAAAAAAAGCCTTCATCACCTGTTGCTTCCAGATAAAAAAGCCTCTTCAAGTTAGCATTTCTTTTTTAATTGCATCCATCACCTGTTGATTCTGAGAAACCAGTCACCACCAATATCGGATCATTCTCCACTCACATTGATATGGAACTGTAAGAGAAAAAATGGACACTTTCTTCATCATCCTCTCTGTTCCTAGGCTTTCTTCATCTACGCTTTTTACCAGGTATGCTTTCTATGCAGCTAGAAACATACCACTAATGTATTGAGGAACATTATGTAACAAGGAGTATAACATTATGTGTTTTTTTTTTCTAACAATTCCAGTTTCTTGACAGGTACTGTTTCGAAGATGTAGGGATAGATATGAGCACCATGAGACCCAATTACAGAATTGATCTAAGGTGAGTAAAATAAATGAGGGTAATTTTGTAAAAAGTTAGTAAGGTAGTGTTTTTGTACTTGGATCATATCTCAATCACATCCTCGGTCTCTCCCTCTATTTAAGTAGATGAAATTAGACTCTCGATCTAAGTTGTGGATTGTTTGCGAGACTACATACAACCAAAGGTAAAATCTTGGTTTAATTATAAAGAACTAATTTTAATATATTTTGGATTATCTTTGACTTTGGGTTATATATTGTAGGTTGTAAGCATGTTTTTAACAACATCAAACAAAGGTTAGCTTTTCATATTTTTCATATTTTCATATTTTCATTTTATTATTTCATTATCTTTATTCATAAGATGCTTTATTTGTGCAGTTTAAGCATTGTAACATAGGTGTATACATAAATTGAATAAGGTAAGGAGGGGTAATTTGGTCATTTTTAACTATATCAATATTATTTACATCGTATACTTTCAAATTCAGAAACTAAAATAAGTGAAACCATGTATGTGTTAGTCTCTCCATGAAAAGACCTTCCGACCGCCAACCATGGTTTTTTCTGAAACATATTGTCATTTGAATTGCATTTTTACTTATTTTTGGTGCTTTAGGAAGGTGAGTTTACCGCTTTGAACTTTAAAAATGATTATTTTAGCTTAGTTTTGTGTATTATTTTCATGTATCTTTCTATGTTGATTGGTTCATAATCAAATTGAAGACGAGGATAATTATGTATGCGTGTATATACGTGGACAAAACAAAAAAGAAAGTATGAATGCTTGTGTGATACTAATGTCAACTTTATGTTTCTTTTTATGCAGGAATGGTCGAATGTTGCAATATTGGCTTACTTCTCACAAGTACAGGGCAAAAAATCTTCTACTATCTCATAGTGGGATACCTCACCAAATGAGTCCCAATTGGATTGCCTTTCATTCTTGATGTGCGTTTTCAAATTATCATATATCCTTTTGAATATGGTGCTTTTGTAGGGGTGTTATTACAAGTATATTTCCATCAGTGTAGAAGATCTTCACAATACCATAGCTTTTGAATTTTGTAAAGGTAATTTTAAAGCTAATTTGTTAAGAAATCTCATGCATCTAATGTTCTCACAAGTCTAATGTTCTTGACAAACTCAAGAAACTAAGGAGGGGTAATGTGGTAATTTTAAAGCTATACCAGTAGAAATGGGACAATTATAAAATATTAACCTTCTATAAGCTAACTTTCATCTTTTGTAATTAACACTTACTTATTTCTATATTTAACATATTTTACTATTTTGCAATTTTCTGACAAGTTGACAACAATCAAAATGGAGAGATTCTTAATAATTTATTCAATTGGTGGTTATGATTTGTTTTGCTTATGATGAATTTTGATAGATTTATGGCAAGTATACTTATGGGGATAACTATTATGGCATGATCATTGGTTGTGGACCTCAAATCTTGGTATGTCCTATATTCAAGCTAATCTAGAGTGTATCCATTCTGAGGCTAAATGATTCTTATACTAAATGACAGCTTGATTGTATTGCTTTTGATGATGGTGGCAGCAACAGGAGATGAAGGAAAACACAGTCTGATAAAATCCAATCCATGTTGCATGTTTCTTATTTAAAAACAAGTCCATGTACAATATTGTTATTTTGTCTTTTTCTAAATTGGAACAATTCATTTTGTTGGATTGACAATATATTTTCAAAATGGAATGGTTCTTTCATGAAAGGTGATTCGTTTAATCAGATTGATACTCATTCCATGCCTATGTCTATATTTGAAACTAATAATATATTTTCAATCAAACATAAAATATGTATAAATATAACTTATTTACCAATATATTGAAATTTGATTAAATTTAATTTTGAAAATGATATTTTTTGTCTTTGTTTTCTATCAAACTGAAATGAGTATGAAATTGCAGGCTTTATAGGTCAAGAAGGAAAATACCATGTAAAATGGTAGTTGGACTTTAAAGTCAAAAACCCACAAATCCATCATACCTTGTTTGCTTAGTTGAAGTTTTGTTTTTTTTTTATTATCTTTTTTGCTTTTCCAAAAATATAGGAATTTAGTTTTTGCATATTTGTCAATAGAAAAATTAGAAGTTGGGATTTATTTGATAGATCAGAAATTTATAAAATATTAATTTGATTTTAGGATCGATAATTGTTTGGATAATAATTTATATAAAGAACGAGGCCATTTATAGATTGCCAATATTTAGGTTTTCCAATAAACAAGGTCATGCTATTTCACTTAGATTGGTAGGTGTAGGTGACGCCCACTAGCGTTATAATGACATTGAGTCCCGAAAAACATTGAATAACACCGTTTTCTCGATGAAACAGCGTCCCGACTTGGTGTTATTAGTTGTTATGGTATGTGGCGTTAACATGCCAACGAGAGGAAACGGATAATTTTTTGACAATTGGCTTCAATGTGACCATTTTAAAATCATAAAATTTATAAAAAAAATTGTTTTTTACCTATATAAATATATAAACAAAACCTCTATTTTTTTTACCACTTTCTTTTCTTTTCTTCTATTTCAAATATAATTTCAATAATTCAAAACAAAAAAATAGATTATTTCCATCCTATCCAACGATTTATTAATATTTCACTTTTAGTTTTTAAATGGTATTTTTAATTTAGTATTTAATTAAATTATGTTTTATTAATTTAGATATATATTTATAAATATTATGACAAATAAAAAATAGAAACAAATTGGAAAAATAGAAACAAAAAACATCAAATAAATAAATAAGAAATAGAAAATAAGGGGTGTTATCACATGTTATTTGGTGTTGTTAATATCTACATTGGATGTTATACCACCAAAAGTGTGATTAAGATAATGAGGCGGACATTATGGATGTTAGGTTTTGAAATTTCTATACTTAAAAATTGTTTTCTTGCAACGAAATTATAATAATAGAAAATCAAACTAATTTATGAAGAAATATCAACACCCGTCGCTTAGCGCGGGTAAACGGCTAGTAATAATACATACATTTTGATTGACATATGACATAGTTTTATATATAATGATTTCACATGTCATTTTTCAGTGTTTTTTAATTTCTTTTTTTTCATTTATATAAATCTCAAATTCTAAGGAGTTTAAAGTTAAATGTTATTTTGATTATTTCCATGTTTTTTTAATTTACTTGATATAAATGCCTAAATTTAAGAAGTTCAAAATTTAATAACAATTTATTCCCTTTACTTTTCATATAACAATTTAAAAAATATTTAAATTAATATTCAAAATCAAACAATTTAATATATAGAACCCTACGTAAAGAATTATTTTCGTATTTATAATTTTATATAAGACTTTTTCTTATAATTTATTTTTTAAATAGTAATACATGAGTTTTTAACCTAATAAGATTATAACAACTAATTAAAATTGATACATACATTGAGGGTAATAATGTAATTTACCTTTTTTATGGATAGATATATTTTGCAATTGATCTTGAAATTTTTGTTTTTATGGAGGGCATAAAAATTGAATTTTCACATAATTGATGTGGTTTTTATGGATAGATATGCCAATTATGGATAAATATGTTATGTTGGAATTATATGTTGAAGACTTGCCATGCAGCTTTGTGCATTTTAGAAATTAACAGGTTTCCAGTTTATCTTGAAATTTAGGTGAATTTAATTTATATGATTTATATTAATAAGGATGAATGGTAAAATAATAATTTAATATTGATAGAAAATTAGGTGGAAAAGATGTTATGCGGCAAATTTGATTCATTTATTGCTAATTATTGCAATTTTAAACAATTTTAGCAAGTTAGAAACTCTTCAAAAAAATTACATAAATATAAACATACAATATTATACAACAATAAAATGAGTAGCGGTAGAACATAATGTTTTCTCTATCCAATAGTTATAAAGATACAATAGAATATAAATGTATGTGTAAATGTTTAAGTGAAAAAATTGAACATAAGTGACGAAAATGTGAATGAGGATGCCCTCTTTGTCTCTATTGGTTTTACTCACCGATGATTAATCTACTAAAACAATGGTTCTAAAAAGCACATCATGACGCACCTCAAGGTGTGTCATGACGCGCGACGTGGTGTAGCCATTACGAAAACGTTAAATGTGGGTTTGTTAAACGTGACGTCCAAATAATGTGTCAAGACTCGCCTTATCGCGTTATGGCGCGAGTATTTTTCAAGGCACAAGTTTTCTTGTTATTTTTTTTTGTTTTCTGATCAGGCCTAAAATAATTGAGCTTTTGTTAAATTTTTTATATTAAATATTAATATAACATTTCTAAAAACTTGATATATTTGATAAAATTCAATAATTATATGGTTTATCTTTTTTAATGTATATAAAATAGTTACGCCTTGAAAAATGTTATAATTCACCAAGGTTCATCATGGCTTAACTTTAACCTTGTCGTCAAGCTCATGTCTCACGTTATTTAGAACCTCGACTAAAACACATAAACTTTAAGGGTAGTCTTAAAAACATTATACAGTATTTGTAGTATTTAGTACTCTCAAACTCTTTGCAAGAAGAGATAGCCACTGATACAGATACTTGCACACACTAACGCAATATATGATCTTGAATGGAGTTACACCACCAAGAAATAATTAAAATAGAGAAGATAATTTTAAGTTTATGTGTGGAATTTTGCTCTTGAAAGTGTAAGATTAAAACCTTGAAAATATGTTATAATGAGAATTTTCTATGATTTTTGTCAAGGATCTTATTGTCGGAATGACCACTAGTATTGTGCAATTGACTAGCCAAGTCTTTTTAAAAAAAACATTTTATTTTCAGCAATTGCACGTAGTGATCGAGTCAATATTTTTTCTTCCAGGTATGTCTTTTCATGAAATTGGGTTTGTTTATTATAAGCATATTATATGTGAAACACAGAAGATGTCATTATAATGTCATTATAGGAAACCATACCTTAAGGACAACATTGTATGTTATATGTGAACGTGGACTAGAGAGTATGCGAAATGGAGAAAGTATTTTGTTATCTCTGGAGCTTAAGGACAACGTTGTAGAAGTTAGAAGATGTCGTGATAGAATATTGACGATCAAAATTGTAGTAGAGGAGGAGCTGGTGAATGTATTGTGTGCCTATGCACCACATATTAGATTAAGAGTGGTATATCATTAGAGTTTCTAGGATGAGTTGGATGATATGATTAGAAGTATTCAACAGGACCAAAGTGTGGTAGTAGTAGGAACTTATAGGAAGACATAGATGTGTATATGGGTGTGCATAATGGATTTAAATTTAGTACCGAGAATAATGAGGGACACTCCCTACTTGAGTTTGCAACGGCACACGATTTGGTAGTCTTGGACTCTTTCAAAAATAAGGATGCACACCTTATTAGTTTTCAAAGCAAAAATCATAACACTCAAATTGATTACTTTTTATGCGTCGGTGTTATCTTAAGGTACACAAAGATTGCAAAGTGATACTAGGTGACTATTGTGCATCGCAACACAGATTGTTGGTTGTGGATATCCTTACAGTGAGTATATTTAAGAACGATCCAATGATCTTATACCAATGATTCTTTGGAAATATTTGGTTGGAGTAATAGCTGAAGCTTTTAAGGATATGGTGTTAGGGGAATAATAAGTTGGTGTTGGCCATATCAGTTGTGCAATACAATTGTGGAACTTGTTGATGTCCTCTAAGTCAACATATTTCTCTTTTCCTTTTACGTATTTACTTCCAAGAAACTTTGTGAACTCTCCAACATAGAAACTTTATAAACTCTAAAAAAGATGTAAACTAAGTTTAAAAGAACATACATATAAAAGTAAAGTTGTAAAAAAAAAAAAAAAAGTTCAAAGAAATATGTATAAAATGTTTCTAAATAAATTCATCAAAAAAAAATGAAAGTTTGGCCAAAAAAAAAGGTTATAAAAACAAAGATGGAAAGGTAAATGGGTAAACTCATAAAAAAGAAAAATTAAATAAAAAATGGAGGCCAAAACTATAAAAGTTGAAAGTTGGGCCTTTTGACCCAAATCTTGGATCATGTATGAAAGTGGACTTGGGTCGGGATCATATCACTGTACACCGACCCCATACAACTAGAAAGATAGAAAAATAATTCAAACTCGCATCTCTCACCTCAATTGGCAAATGAATGCAAATCACTAACCAACTAATGAGCTATAACTTACTTTGTTAAAAATATATTGTAGACTTAACTTATATCATTTTTTTCTTAAACGCTATTATTGATCCACCCCCAATTGTCTACATCACGCGTGTGATGTTGACCAGCTAACCCATGGTCTCGCATAATGTGCTTAGGCAATATAAACATCATAACGTCAAATAGCTTTCAACACAAAAATTAACCAACCATAAAATACCAAAATACCAATACTTTATTTTTTACACAACATAATGACACATTGATTTGTTTATTTTCCATCAAGATGATATGAGAATCTTTACCCATTATCTAAACTCTATAATATCTATAACATTGCATATTATATATCTTCAATTAATATTTTGATTATCATAATTGGTATCTAAACACCACTTAAATTGGTTGAGTCATGAATCATGAATCATGAGTGGTGGGTAAAGGACCCACAAGAGTTCGACGACGAGTAACAGAGTTGGTTTGCTGTGCCGTAAAGCGTCGTGCATGCAACTCACTCCCTCTCTCTTAAGCATGCACTTTCTTCATTTTCCATGACTCTTCCAACCGCCGGCAGCAACCTCCATATCCGGCGAACCAAGATCAGCAAGATCAAATTTCGTACAGGAAGCAACAATCCCACCGTTTCTTTTGACTTCACGACACAATTACACAAACACCACTCGGATAAAGTAAGTTTTTGTTGACTCGATACATCTTGTTATAATGAATACCGTGTTTCGGGCAAATTACTTATGGAAAATAGTGATATCTTTCGATTCAAGCATTTTTAGTAGGTTAATTGGGGGATTTTTCCTAGTATTTAGTCTCTCCTGTTGAATTGGATTTTAATTAATTGGGATTAGGGTTTTTTTTTTTCTTTTTCTTTTCCGAACTGATGTCTGCGGATGGAGTCTAGAATATGCATGAATGACTTATGCGGAGCTTCATTAGCAGCAGCTGGTGATTATAGGAAAGGTTGGGCTTTGCGGTCTGGTGATTTTGCCAGACTTTGTAATAAATGCGGGTAATTAATCCCAGATCTCTTCGGTTTCCAATTTTAAGTTTCTGTACTTTGATCTGAAGGTGGAATTAACGAATTATCACTTAGTTCAACAACAATACTGTTCATTACTAGGTTTCGTTAGCTATCATTTCCCTATTCCCTTTTCCTTTTTACCTTTTTGTATGTAGTGTAGATTCTTCTCCCTTTTGAATTTACAAAACAGTGACTTCTTTCTGGGATATGTTATTGGAGTATTAGGTGAAGTTTCTTTTTCAGAAAAGTGAATAAACTTAACGTATAATCCTCTATTAATCCACCCAAAAGAGAGTGAATCTCCATATTCTTCTTGCTACAGATCTCATCTTTACCTATTGTTTACAGAGACCTTTTACTTCATTCATCAATTCCTCTGAATAAACTTAATTTGCTTGCTACACAGTTTTACCTGAATAAGAGAAGACTAGAATGGAGATATAACAAAATTTCTAGTCACATTTTTGTTAAAGATTTTGAATAACTTTCTTAATATTTGAAGTTCCGGATTGTTCCAGTACTGCATATGAACAGCTAGCATTTTGTGAACTATTCCACCTAGAAGACACTGGTTGGAGGGAGTGCAATTCATGTGGCAAGGTAACCAAACATATACATAATGATCTAAACTACATCCCTAAATTTCCTTTTTTTTGTGTGGAATTTTGTAATTTGAATTTATCAATATATTTTGTTAATTACAGCGTCTCCATTGTGGATGTATTGCTTCTACTGCTGCCATTGAACTACTTGAAAATGGTGGTGTAAGTTGTGCCAGCTGTTCAAATAGTTTGAGACGTGACCCTGTAAGATCAAGTTACATTATTTTTTCTTTTTGACTTAAGACTTAATTGGTTAAGCACTTAAAGAGTTGTAATTATTCATGTTTATTGTATTAAATACAGAGCACAAGTGAGGATAAGCCTGGAGAATGTGGCATTTCAGTAGAAAATAGCATTGGAGAAATACCATCATCCTCTAATAAAATGTTGAAACAATCAAACGATAAAGGACAAAAATACCCTCTTCCATCTGATAACGATGACACATCAACATCTCAAATGAAACAAGAAGAAATCTTTCCCATTTCAACTTTCGACCCTGTTCATGGAACCAAATCATTTAAATATAGAGAAACTACAGGGGGTAAAGATGTAATTGGATCACTTGTTCAAACAGACTTAACTATGGGCTTAGCTTCTTCTTCTTCCTCTTCACAAAAGCCAGCTTTTCTTCTTCCTCTTGATGGAAGGGAATTGAATAAACCCTTTCAACAAGGACCTTGGTCTCGCCATATTTTACCCAAAGTGCCCAAATCCGTCTTTTCACAAGGATTTGATGCAAATATTGGAATGAATTCACAGATAAGAATTGCTAGGCCTCCTGTTGAAGGGCGTATTAAAAATCAACTTCTTCCTCGTTATTGGCCTAGAATTACAGAACAAGAGTTGCAGCAGATATCTGGAGAGTATCCATTTTTAACCATGTTTTGGTTATTTTTACATTACATTAATCTAAAATAAATATATTAAACAATGTAATATTTTCCTTGATTCTGCTTCTTTAAGTTCAAATGCTACAGTTGTTCCACTATTCGAGAAGGTTCTGAGTGCCAGTGATGCTGGTAGAATTGGTCGTTTGGTTCTCCCAAAAGCATGTGCTGAAGTAAGTATATTTTATAATTATGAGAAAAAGACAATTATGCCCTTTGAGTAATACTCAAGTTCACATACTCTACAGGCGTATTTTCCACCTATTTCTCAACCAGAGGGGCTTCCAATCAGAATACAGGATGTGAAAGGCAAAGAATGGCTGTTTCAGTTCAGATTTTGGCCTAATAACAACAGCCGTATGTATGTTCTAGAAGGTGTCACTCCATGCATACAGTCTATGCAGTTGAAAGCTGGAGATACTGGTATTCCTTTCATTCATCCAAAACCTTAATTTCCGCTAACAATTCTTAAAAATGCAAATCTTCTAGAAGTTTTTGCTCATATAATCTTACTTTTCACCAGTGACATTCAGCCGCATGGAACCTGAAGGAAAGCTTCTTATGGGCTTCCGAAAAGCCTCAGTTAGTTCTTCTGTACAGGTAACTAACTAACTAACTAACTAACTAACTAAATAACTAACTAACTAACTTCTAGATAATATATATATTATTTTAATACTGATATACAGAAATTAAATAAACAGGATTCTCGAATGGGTGCAATGCATAGTGGAGTATTTCCAAGTGGATCTTCACCTTCTTTATCTGGTGTTGAGAATGTTTCAAATATGAGTGATTATTCTGGTCTTCTTCAGTCACTAAAGAGAAACACGGATTCCCATTTAAATCCATTGTCAAGGAATATGAGCTTGGCTATTGGAGATGCCAGCTGGCATGCAAATGAGAAGTCAAGGGCTGACTCATTTCAACCAGACAAAAAAAGAAGTCGAAATATTAGTTCAAAAAGTAAAAGATTATTGATTGAGAGTCAAGATGCTCTTGAGCTGAAATATACATGGGAAGAATTACAAGATATGTTGACTCCACCTAACACTTTGAATCCAACTAGTGTCACCATTGAAGACCAAGAATTTGAAGAATATGAAGTCAGTCATCTTAAACTTTTTTCCCATATCTAAAAAAAAAGAAAAATCTTTGGATTTTATTTATTTTTTCTTTTTTTTAGGAACCTCCTGTTTTGGGAAAGGGGAGCATATTCACTGCTCGCTCTTCTGGGTAACAATTATTGCTCCACGTTTTATATTTAATTTTATGTTATATATAAATTAAACTTAACATGAAAAAATTATGTTTCAGGGAACAAGAACAGTGGGCCCAATGTGATAACTGTTCAAAATGGCGTAAATTACCTGTTGATTTTCTTCTCCCTGCTAAATGGACATGCCAAGAAAATGTCTGGGATCACACAAGGTAAGTCCTAATTATTCTTATTATAATAAACAAAAATTTTAATAAATATTCATACGATGTGACAATATTGGGATTATTTATATTTATATTTATAGGTCTGCATGTGTTGCACCAGATGAACTAGGCCCTAGAGAACTCGACCACCTTCTTAGACTAGCTAAAGGTATACAACTACTTTCAACTTTCATGCAAAAAGACGTAAATGCCCTTCCTGATTAGAGTTTCCATTTTCATGGTCTGATTAGAGTTTCACAAATGGAGAAACTCCATGAACCAAAAGCCACCACCAGATCAAGACCAAGGGGAGAACCAGAATCAGGTGGAGCCACCACCGGACCCGTCGGTTGCAACCACCACGAAACACCCAAGGCACCGCCCGGGGTGCTCGTGCATAGTCTGCAGTCAACCGCCAAGTGGCAAAGGCAAACACAAGCCAAACTGCACTTGTAATGTCTGTATGACAGTTAAACGAAGATTCAAAACCCTAATGTTACGAAAACAACAACGCCAATCAGAACGTGAAGCTGAAATTGCAGAAAAAAATAATCAACTCAAATTGGGTGTGGGCCCCACTTCGAATCCTAAAGAAGAAACTGAAGGTGTTATGAAGTCACAACAATCATCAGGAGGAGGAGGAGGAGGAGGAGGGGGGAAAGGTCAGTTGGATTTGAACATACGACCTCATCCTCATGTAAGCATGATGAGTCTTCTTCAAGCTGCAAATCAGCCATTAGAGACTTACATGAAGCAGAATGGTCTTACCACATTAATCCCTGAACCACAGGGCACTAGCTCTGGTTCACAGCCGTTACCACAACAAGGTAGCTCAACAGCTCAAGATGAGCAGAATAACCAAAACAGTTCGTAAATTTGGAATATGTTTTTCTGGGTTTTACAGAGGTGGAAAAAGAAAAAGGAAAAAGGAAAAACTTTTTATTGTTTTTTTTTGTGAAGTTGATATGTTGTATTTTGTAGTACAATTTGGGTGAGGAGTTGTTATGTGGCGTTGTTTAGAAACGGGATTTGAGATAATGTTGTACAACACATGAACACACGTTACATGTCTTGTACAAAAGAGTGTAAAGGGTGTTTGAGATTTGGTTATTTAAGGTGTTTGTTAGCTTATTGTGGGTTGGTGATGTTAATATAAGTATTGTTGAGTGTGTATGGAATAAAACGAAAGGAAAATGACTTGATAAGGTAAGATACTTTTTGAAATTTATACATTTAGTTTTTTTTTTAATTTATTTTTATTATTATTATTTTTTTGTAAATTAAACCCTTATACCCGATTTTTTGTAATTATGCAATCATTTTGACCACATATCCTCGGTATATTGGTCATATATGAATTTTATTTTATTTTTTTGAAATGAAATAACTAGGTGGCATACACATATCACCTTACGGGGATATTGTTAAATTACACCACATTGAAACGATAATTAGGGCTCATTTAATCAGTCTTTCCTTCATTCACTCAGCCGATAATCCCTCTAACTTTTTGACTCACAATCATCATCAACAATGGCAGAAGATGCAGATACAATCATTGATGTACACTCCCATTGATGTATTTTAATGGAGTAAAAGCCTCTATACCATACACGGTTGTGAACAAGATGAACTTCCTTAATTTCATCCCCTTTCTTGAAAAGCTTACTAACGGAAGATGTAGAGATGTGTATTACTGTCCACATGAAGTGAGGCTGTTGGAGGGATTACATGCTATTTAGAATGGCTGCGATTTTAATGAGTTTCTTGAATATATCAATGAAAAGAAGAGATTGGATGTGTATGTGGATCATCATCATGAACCTTTGTTTGATTGGATTCAGGAGGAAGAAGTAGACCTTGAAGATGATGATTTGGTTTCTATTGATGATGTTGACTCCATTTTAGAAGATGGTCTGAAAGCTGAACATGTAGAGGACGATGAAGTTATATCTCTCAAAAGAAACTTCAATGATCAATTCCTCAACAAACTTTGTCCAATACAGAATAATAACTTGGTTGAAGAAGATCATAATGTAATACAACCTATTTACCCAAGACATGATCATACTCAGGAATGGAATGAGATGAAGCCTCGATTAGGTATGAAATACTCTATTACTACTGAACTTAAATATTCTCTTAGTTGCTATGTTGTAGCAAATGGTAATGATCTGCAGTATGAAAAGAATGACAAGAGTAGGTTGCTAGTTAGGTGTTCTAAAAGAAAGAATCCAACATGCCCTTTTAGATTGTATGCTTCCTGGATGAAAGAGGAACACAATTTTTAGATTAAGTTTCTTATAACAGAGCACAAGTGCTCTAGGGCATTCAAACTTGGGTCAATTGTAACTTATAAGTGGATAGGGAAACAATTTGTGAATGATGTTTTGGAGAGTCCTAAACTGAGTTTGAGGAAAATGAAAGCCCTAGTATATAAGAGATACAACATTAATGTGAGTGTTGGGCAGTGTAGGAATGCAAAAAAGTTAGCATTGTCTGAAGTTGAGGGAAGTTTGAAAGAACATTATGTCGAATTGTGGGATTATGCAGCTGAAATCGGAAGGGCCCAGGTTCACATGTTGAGGTGTTCTTGGAGCCACAGCCTGATAATACTGTGGTGTTTGATAGGTTTTATGTTAGCTTTAAAGGTGTTGTGGATAGGCGGTTAGATGGATGCAGAAAAGTAATTGGGGTTGATGGTTGCTTTCTTAAGGGTGTTTGTAGAGGGGAGCTCCTATCAGCAGTTAGGGGTGTTCACAGTCCGGTTTTTTCGGTTTTTAGGTCAAACCGAAGCCAAACCGTTAGTAACGGTTTTCGTCAAGCAAAAACTAAAGTTGAACCTTTGAAATTTTAAAACCGAACCAAACCAAACCGTTACTAACGGTTGGCTCCGGTTTGCTTTCACGGTTTGAGATTTTTAGACACATTTTAGTCGAGTCCATTAAACTAATTTAGTAAAAAAAAAGCTGCACTATTAAAACTAGTAAAACAGCAAAAATTCTGTCAAATATTGTTAAAAAGAAAACTACAATATTAAAGGTGTCAAAAAAAAAAAAAAAAAAAAAAAAAAAAAAAAAAAAAAAAAAAAAAAAAAAAAAACTACAATATTTGGGTAAGAGAAACACCTCCTGAACTGGACTTGGGATTGGGCTTCACAAAATAAATTAGGATGTGTCTACGATAATTAAATGTTTTGGGTTTTCATTATTCATATATAAAAATTAATATATAATACAACAAAATACAATTATATATATATATATATATATATATATATATATATATATATATATATAATATTAATGTATATATACAAACCCTACGGTTCGGTCCGGTTTTTGTACAGTTTGAAATCTTAAAAACTATAAGTCAAACCATTCACTACGGTTTGAAAATGTCAAAACCGCAAGTCAAATCGTAAAAAAAAAATACAAACCGTAAAACCAAACCGATGACCGGTTTGGCCGGTTTCACGGTTTCAAACCGAATCGCGAACACCCCTATCAGCAGTGGGTAGAGATGTTAATAATAACATTTATCCCTTAGCTTGGGCAATAGTTAATGTTGAGAACAAAAGGACATAGAAATGGTTTTTGGACAACCTGATGAAAGACATTGGATGGGGGAATGGTCATGGCATTACAATCCTCTCAGATGGCCACAAGGTAATCATTCTACTTTTTTCAATTAAATTTAATTGTTTTGATCATTTAATTAACTAATCATTTAATTGTTTGAATCAAGGGTTATTTGAAGCTGTGAAGGAAAGACTTCCGGATGTGGAGCATAGATTATGTGTTAGACATGTTCTAGCTAATTTCCACAAAAAAATTTAAAAGAGAACAATACTTTAAACCATTTTAGAGGGCTGTGAATGCAATAACTGTACCAAAGTTTAAAGCAGCAATGAATGAGATTAAGTCCTTGGAAAGCAGGGCTTATGACTATCTCATAGATATGGATCCAAGGTGTTGGTCAAAGGCTTTTTTTTAGAAAGGGTATGGACTGTGATGCAGTAGAGAATGGAGTTTTTGAAAGTTTCGATGCTAGAAGGAAACCAATGATAACAATGTTGGAGGACATAAGATGTTGGGCAATGCAGAGGTTATGGATGCAGAAGCAAAATGGTTTGCATTGGGATTTGGACATATGCCTAAGTATCAGAAGGGATATAGAGGATTTGAAAGAATTGAAAACGTTAGTAACAATTTCATTAGTTATACATTGGTTTATAATGGTAACTGCTATTTTCTTGTATATTGACATATTTTGGGTACCTTATGTGAGTGGCTACAAAGAATTTGGAGTGTTTTCAGGAAATGAGAGGTATGATGTTGATCTGAATCAGAGGGCATGTGGATGCAGAAGCTGACAACTCACAGACATTCCATGTGTACATATCATATCAATAATTTCATCATTGAACCTATATGTGGAGGCTTTTGTATCAAACTACTATAGCAAAGCCTCTTTCCTTAGTAGCTATGAGTATAACATCCACTCACTTAATGATAGTTCTGAGTGGCCACATGTTGAAGGACTTCATACTATTTTGCCTCCATTAAGGAGGAGGTTACCTGGCAGGCCATGTGTCAAACGGAAAAGAGATCAGGCAGAAAGAGACCTAAGTGGGCATACAAGGCATACTGTGTCAAGGGCAGGCATTCCTCTAAGATGTACCATTTGCCACCAAACTGGCCACAACAAAGCCACGTGCCCAAGTAAGCCAACTCCAGCTCTAAGCACAGCTAGTCCAAGTCAATTAACTCCAGCTCCAAGCACAGCAGGTCCAAGTCAATCAACTCCAGCTCCTGTCAAGAGAACTCCTGTGAATAAGGCTCTTATGAAGAAGGCTCATGTGAAGAGAAGTCCTATGAAGAAGGTTCCTTTAAATGATGTTGGTAGGGTGAGAAAGTTTGAGAAATAATCATAGAAATTGGTCTTCAGAAAAATGTTAAACTCAAGGATGGAACTGGATGCAGCCAAGACAAACCTGTGACCTCAGAGTAATTAGGTTTTGGTGTAGTAGGGTAATGCATGTGATATATATATTTTAATGTAGTGTGGGGTAATCTTTTGAACTTAATTACTATATTACCCCTACTAGTTGTTTACTTTTAATGTACTTGTCAAATATTTTGAAGTAAATTATTGTATTACCCCTACTGGTAGGCTTATCTTTTGTAACTATTAAATGGCTTGATGCCTTTTGTCAGCCACTTTTACTTGTCTTTACATCCAATTATCTATAAAAGAATATTTCCTGTAATTTGTCTTGGTTTTACCTCCATTTGACTGACTTAATTACATTAACATCCATACATAATAGCAATAAACTTTACAATTACATAAACATAAAGTACATCAACATCCATTACATAAACAAGAATTACACAACAAGTCTATTACATCAACATCCCCTAAAACCTCCAGAAGCATATCTTCAACCCCAAAACATAACCTTAACAATAACCAGCAAAATCAGTACACAAACCATAACCTTCAACTGTTTCGCTTCTTCTCTAACAGATGTCACATCCTCTAAAACTTGTATAAGATAATCGGCAACATACGAAAGAGTATCTTCTGCAATGGGCTTCATATTCTCAGGTTCTTCATCAATCCATTCCCAAAATTTATACTTTTTCCCTGGTTTCTGTAGTAATAAATCAGTAACATAGAAGGTAAGAATAAGAAAATTGATGTGATTTGACAAATAAAATAAATTTATGTATTTACCAATGAGTTAGGGCACACTCGAAATTTCTTTCCAGTATTATCTTTGGTCTTGGAGGTACAAATTCTTGTAGGGAGTTCACAATCACAGAGGACTTCCTTATCTACTCTATGAGTGCTTGAAACCGTGGAGATTCTTGAGTCACTCGACATCTTCTTTCTTCTTCTACGACAAAACCATGATTCCTCCTGATTTTGGATGCTAACATTCGTGTATAAGGAGTAACTATGTTAATAAATTGTTATGCAATTGTTTTTAGCGTCACGTGTGCTTCCACGTCAGCAAAACCTATAGAATCCGGTCAAAATGATATAATGTGTACATATTAATAAAGTATAGGGGTTTAATTTATAAAAAAAAGGACTAAACACATTTCAAAAAGTAACTTACTATATCAAATTATTTTCCTAAAATAAAAATTGTTTAGACTTTATTAAATAAATAGGTTGGTTTCTTCTAACTTATTTAAAAGTATTTATAACTTTTTATTTTTATAAAAGCGCTTAAAGCTTCTTCAATTATAGTTTCTTTTCTAAAGCTTTTTACTATTTAAAAAAAAAAATGAAAGCTTTTTATCCTTGGAGAAGATGTTTTTTTATGGTGATTTTTTTTATTTTATTTTTATTTATTTTTTTAAGGGTTACTTCAAAACACTTAATATTCTCTAACATTTTAATTATCTTTTAGACTTTGTCCATTTTGGTTCTTGCATTTCATGACAATTTAATTTACATCCTAGTCATATGTAGATATGAATTTATTTTTTTGTTTTTTTTTATTACTTTATATTTTTGAATATATATATATATATATATATATATATATATATATATATATATATATACACTACGATTTAAATATATTTTATCGAAAATCATATCATAAAAAAATAATTGTCAAAAAATTTAAATGATAAAAATACCAACGATTAAAAAACATTACCATAAACTACTATTTAATATTTTTTATTTATTAAAATGTTAATGTTATTTTTCAAAAATACGACATACTTAAAAATATATAAAATAATAAGAGAGTAGTTGGTAGAATATATGATAAAGATAGAGATAATTGAGTTAATTTCAAACAAAAGGTTAACCATTGGATATATATATATATATATATATATATATATATATATATATATATATATATATATATATATATATATATATATATATATATATATATATCAATAGTTTTTTTTAATAAATAAATATTAGTAGAAATATGATGTAGCAAAAGTAAAACATTTTTAGATTTTTAGGTGTTAGCCATTAGAGATATTCTTATATGAATTGGAACCAATTTACACTATTATCCGTGTTTTAACCGTAAAAAATGTATGATGGTCTTGCTTTTTTTTTTTCTTTTATTATTACCAGCGATGCACATACAAATTTACTTTTTTATTCGTATTTCTTTTGGTCATTTTACATATATAAAAAGAAATCGTCAAATATTGAAAAACAACCTTATTGAGTATTTGTACAACATAAGCTAATACATCACCAACAACAGACCCCATAATCTCATTAAGATGGGGTAATGGGTAGATGTTAACAATTATGGCTGGTAGACTTTATTTTTTTTATTAAAAAAAAAGCATTTTAGTATTCTATAAGCTAATAATGAAGCACTTTTTATAAGAAAGCATAAGTTGTTTTATACAATCTTTCTTGACAAGCATTCACACATACTTGCATGTCACACACAACACAAATAAATATCGATATATCGAAAGGTATTCGTGTCTTCTGTATAAATCAGATATAAAGAGTGTCTATATCTGAATCTTAGCCTTCCATAAAAGGACAAAAGATATCAATTTGGATTAAAAACTTTGTTAATTTTCAAATGATGTTGATTTATTACAATTTGTAAAAGTTAATGGATTTTTAAACAATTTGTGCAAAAAAAAAAAGTATTTCTTCAGCGAATCATTTGAATGAAGAGATTTCGATCATGAAGAGAACTTTCAACTTTGGCAACAGCTTGACTCGAGCCACAAAAAAGTTATGATGAGAAAATAAAGCGACTTATTTCTTCTTCTTTATAATCATTTCATCTAAAACTCTCTTCAATAAGTAATTATTCAACACCACCTTCAATACTTATCATTACAACTTTAAACAGCTAAACCCACATTTATTTTGAAATAACAACATTTATAAGATACAAGAAAACTAATTCTAATATTATCAATAAAACCTTTGGCATCATATATGCCCAAAGCCAAACCAAAACACTTTATCTACAAAATAAAAATAAAAACCTAACATCCAAAAATATAAATCCATCTTCCACTTTCTATATCTAGTAACAAGAAAGAGGAAGCAAAATCAAAAAATTTATATTATAAAAAAAAAAAAAAAAAAAAAAAAATCTTTCTATTAACATTCAAAACCCTTCTACACTAGACCGTCTACCCGAAGCCGATGACCTCCGACTTTCTTGACGGTCCACAATCATCCCCTCCATCGCAAGATTCGCGGCACAGTTCCGTGGCGGCAGAGACGGCGGCAGCCGTGGCGGCGGTGGCGGGGATGGTGAGTAGCTCAGCCTTGGCGCCGGATAAATAATCCCATTCAAACTCAACGATTTCGCCATGTGTTTCCGGCTGATTGGGCCACCTGGCTCTTGAAGCGGGAATCGACATGAAAACTTCATTTCTTGTATGATTTTAAGGTGTTCAACAATGGTTCTCATTGTTGGTCTTTCTGATGGCTCTTTTTGAAGGCATCTTTGGGCTATGTCCGCCATTGTCCTGGCGGCTTTCGCCGGAAACCGCCCTTTTAGCTGAGGATCCATGATCAGGGAGAGGCGGCTATCGTCGGCTAAAAAGGGTCTACTCCATTTGATTAGGTTTCTTTCTTCTTTTGGGTGGCGGCTGTCTAGATTCTTTCTCCCTGTAAGCAATTCAAGGAGGATGATCCCAAAACTCCATACGTTGCTTTTTGGGGTTAAAAGTCCTCTCTCTAATGTCTCTACTGAAAGATTCCCCATTGCCTGAATCACATTTTAAGCATACGTACATCAAGGAGGGTATATATGTAATTTTGCTAAATGGATGACTTTTCAAAACGTAACAATTTCGAAAATGCAAAAAGGGAAGTGTATAATGGCCCGTTTAGCATCTACGTTTCCACAAAAGTGAATCACAATTTTCTTCCATATTGTATAGTGGTTTTTTTGGATCTGGTCAAAAAAGGAATCTTTTTACCTTTTTTATCCATGTGATGTGTTTTTTTTTTCAAATTTTTGGTCCTTGAGTCGTCAAAAATAACATCCCATTCGTTAATCTTTCACAAAATGTCCATTTTGACCCGTTTTCCAAACTTAACTGGGATATAACTTAATCTGATAAGCTATATACAAGCGTTTATTTTTTACTTAACATTCACAAAAATGTAGCTTTCATTAAGTCCTAAGTTTTACCGAATTGTCCCTCGTTTATTTTTTTTTTTCTTTCATTTCCTCAATTATGCCGTCGGTTTCACAAATATTATTTACAAATCATTTAAATCCAATTATTCAAAATATAATCATAAAAACAAAGTTTTAAGAAGAAATAACTTACAACTGAATTATTTGAGATGTCAGTTTCAGGAATGTGACTTATGCAACCATACCCCGAAAGCTTTGCACTAAAATCTTTATCAATTTGTATATTCGCAGTTGAAAATTCATGAAACATCGCCTGCAAATTGATAAAATACATAACAACAATGAGCACCACAAACTTGACGATATTTCAAGATTCAAATTTCATTAAAAAAAAAAAAAAAAAAAAAGTCAACTCTTTGACTACCTGAAATGGTCCTTCCTCATGCAAAAAAGTAAGCCCTTGAGCAGCACAAAGTGCGACTTTCATTCTTGCATTCCAATCAATAGGTGGGCCATCTGTTCTACCATATAAAAGTCGATCTAAACTTCCATGAAAAAGCCTCTCGTAAACCAACATTCTTCTATCAGATCCCTCACGACCATGGAAGCCAATCAATTTACAGAGATAGGGGTGTTGCAATGATGCTAGTGTGTTCACTTCACTCACAAATTCCTTCAAACCCTAAAAAAATGCAAAGAATCGATGTTAATTTTACTGATACACTGTAACTGTTACTGATATTGTGGGTCCTATCTTTACCTGAGATGAAGGATGGAGACTTGTAACAGTGGCTTGAAGATTCTTTAAATTAGAAGTATCTTCTCCAAATGAAGCTCTATACATAACAGAAGAAAGACCTTCAGACACGCATCTCTCAGGTGAAAAGTTATGGCAAGCAGCTGCGATTTCTTCAAACGTGAAATTCTTAAGTGTTCCAGATGTCGGTAAAGATGCCGGAATCATTGGCGGAAGATGGGTGGTTCCCGATGGCGGAAGTGGCAGAGGGCCGGAAGTATTAAGAGGGGGCAACAGCCCACTGCCGCCACCAACTTTAAAGCTTCCCATGGTTTTCAAGTTGGCTGTATGCGGTGCAGGAAGCGGCAGCGGCTGCGGGACAGGCGGCAACCCGCCTCCGCCTCCGCCGCTGCCACGGGTTTTGGATTCTTCGTGTTCTTCAAATTCGGCTGATGAAAGTGCGTCTTGTTCGGCTGCATCCAGGGTTGAAGGTGCTGATAGGGCTCGTGTTCTGCTAGTGTTTGGTGGGTTGTTGGGTTGGACCGGTTTGACCCTGGTTCGGAAGCTTGGTGGTGCGGATTGTAGCCGGGGTTGGGTCTGGGTTAGTGGTTCGGGTAATGTAGTTGGAGTCGGGTCTTGTGGGTTGACTCGTTTTACGTGAATGTTTGGGTTTGATTTCTTTTTCTTGCCTTTTAACACCGTTAAACACCCCATCGTCTTTGAAATTCAAGAACTTTGCGTTTTATTCACTGCAGATTCAATAACAGAAACAGTTTGCGTAAAACAAAATGAAAATATAAACATCTTAAAAGATAACAACGATGTATATACAGAAATTGTGATTATTTTCTTGAATTGGTAAAGCTGAAAAAAAAAAAAAAACCTAATTTTTTTTACAAATAATCACTGATTTAAGAACCGGTTCTCACAGAATCCCTGATCCGATTTCAAAAAAGGGAGTTGACTACTGTCATTCTTGAAGAGCTTTAAAACGGATCAAATTAAGCAAAACCTAAAAACTGAATGTGTTTTTATCAGAAATCAAGCAACTAATCAGATAATAATATACTTGAAACTAAAAATAACAGATAAATTGAATCGACGAGGTGTAAAAGATGTAATCTTTATCATATTCCCAGATTCAAAAGACCCATTTCAACGAAAAAATCAAAGAAATTAAACAAAAGATGGAATTCAAGAGATGTATGGAAAGGCTTCATAAATCAAGATCTAAAAGAGGGAAGAACATGAACTGACCTTGGGAAAATTGACCTTTCGCGGTTGATTGTTCCAATTTGTTGATCTTGATGACCTTAAAGAACAGAAATAAGAAAATCCACAAATCTTGTTTGCAAGATTTGTTTAAATCTGTTGACAACTTGTGAGATTTGTGAAGATCAAACCCTAGAAACGTTTTTAAAGGAGTCAAACTAAAACAAATAAGAGATTTTTGAAGAGAGAAAAAAGTTTGGGGAAAATATTTAAGAGTAGGAGTACTGTGCATTTAGGAAGCAGATGTGTATTTGTTTTTGTGTTTTTAAAGAGAGAGAAAGAGAGAAAGGGAAGAGAGTTTCAGTAGTCAAACCAATCAAAGGAAAGATGTCATTATTGTTATCACTTTGTATACAACAAAAATGGATTTACTCACTTTTCATTGACCATTTTACCCATGCCATTTCAATGCCCACAAAGAACGAAAACCTTCTGTCTTTATCTAATTTTACTATTTTGTCCTTGAATATAAGTTTAAATAATCTTACATTGGATAGAACTTCAGTTATATTATACTATACTGAATAGTGAATATGACTTCTCTATATTCTATAAAAACTGATAATCATTTTTATAACTTATTATAGAATAAATAGATAGTGATAAACAAACAATAAGAAAAATAAAAGATGTGATATGAAAATTGAAATATGGATTTATGAGAGGGTGGTAGTTAGTTAGAGGGTCGTTTGGTCATTAGAGAAAGCAAAGAAAATAAAGAAAAATAAAAAAGGGATGGGCAATTTCGTAATTAGAACAAGGGAACAACTAGTATCTCGATATTCAACGAAGGGGGCCTCGATTGAAGTGACGTCTCAGTCAAACTTTGGACCATATAATAACATGTGGGCCATACCATTTTTATAATTTCCTTTTTGATATTTTATTAAATAATATATAACAGAAATTAAAATACATGTGAACTTAAAGGATATGAGATTTTCCTTTTATCGATATCTTATTATCAGATCCATCCCCAAATAATTTGACTTGACAATAATACCCCTCGCTCTACTCTAGATTTGGGTGTTTTTTGTTTTTACTTAAAGCTGGAGGGTGTGGATTGTGGTTTCAAACCATATCATTGCCACCTGGACCGTAAACACCGTCTTTTGGGTGCAGTTTTTTGCGGTTTTGGCTACAGTGCGGTTAGAAATTGCTGCACCCTCTACCTTCTTTCTCTTTATGTATGTGTCTTTTTTTCTCTTCTCTTTTCTCTCACCTCTCTCTTTCTCTACCATTGTTTCCACTCACTGGGTGTGGTAAAGAACCACACAAAATGTGGTAAAAATGATGTGCCTCCTATCTATCAAAAGAGAGAATACGGTTCCTGTAGCACCACTCCCTCCAACCTAATAGGCTAGAAACTTAATAGATTAGGAACTTGAGGTATATAAATACTTTTTTTTTCAATGGCAAATAACTATATATCTCATTTGTTAGGGATTAAACCCAGAGCCTTCTAATTAATAGTTAGATTAGAACCTTCATTTTTTTTAAAAGTGAAGAACATTCATGTTAACCAAGTGGACTAGCCTCAAATACATGGATGCACAGTAAGAAAAAGGCACCGGAAATCGATCTTTAATCATATTTCAAAGCTTAGGACGGGTCCTCAACAATATTTTATCCATGTATTTTCTAGATTATTTTTGTGATTTGTCACTAGAAATTATATGGAGTTATTGTCAAAAATCCATATATATTTTTTTCTTAAACCGAAAGTGGCAAGATATTGCCTAATATATTCAATTTTGGGATTGTAACCAATAATTCGATAAGTAGGATTTTCTGAAAATATAAGTTTTTATTTTTTTCTAAATTAACTATTTTGTAATTTTTGTAATAGTTTTTTACTTTAATCTTATAATAAGATAATAAACTTTATCTTAAAATATAATATATTTAAATAATAATATATCGTGATTATAAAAAGATAATACAATATGTTAAAATATTGCATATAATAAAACTATAATAACTAGCAGGTGATTTCGGGTTTTGTCCAAGTTTTTTTTTTCTTAATTCACCAAAAAATCGGTGCATTTAAAACAACAAAAACTAAAATAAAATAAAAAAATCAAAATCAAAATTTGATGATTTCTTAATAAATCAGCAAAATGCAGGTGTCATTTATCTAACTTATAGCAAAGGTACAAGATAGCAAACTAAATAAACAAGAGCATAATAGCAAAACCCATATAAGGACAAAAAAAGTCAAGCTCAAAAAAATCCAGGGACCGTTTATGTATGAACGACAAAGTGTATACCACTTAGGTACCAAAATTGATAATGACGTAAACATATGTGGTTAAAACTAGGGCTGTCAAATATGTACCATGAAAAATCAACTATCTGCCTCGTTTATCACTTTCATTCCCAAAGTATCTGATTGGCTATCGCTTAGTGACTATCGTCTCATTTGCCTCATTGGATGTATGTACAAAGTGGTGGCCAAATTGCTAGCAAGTAAATTAAATCAGGTGATCAAATCGGTTGTATATGAAGTCCAATCAGCCTATATTCACAATAGAAACATCCTCGATGGTCCATTAGGGTTACTTAAACTTTGTAATGCAAGAAAAATATATTTATATTCAAAGTAGACTTTAAAAAAGCCTTTGACTCGGTCAATTAAGATTACTTGAACTTTGTAATGGAAGAAATGTAATTTGGGTGTAAATGCAGAAAATGGATTATGTGTTGTCTATCCTCTTCGAGATCATCGATACTTGTAAATGGCTCACCGACGATGGAATTTGCTATAGCGAAAAGGGTGAGACAAGGAGACCCACTATCCTTGTTTCTTTTTATACTCGCTATAGAGGGCCTAAACACTACAATCAAGAGTGCTTGCGATAAATCCTTATGCGTGGGGTCAAATTAACAAGAGAAGAGAAGTTTATTAGCTCACAACACAACTCTCTTAATAAAGTGGTGGTGGAGATTGATGAATGAGAAGAGAAGTTTATGGAAGGTAGTAATCGAAAGTATTCATAATTTGTATGACAAACCGGCACCATATAGGGCAAAGAAGACTTCAAATGAAGTTAGGTGCAATACATCCAAGGCAATAAAATCCATTTATAAGTTAAACATCGATAGCATGGAGATTTTTAATTTTATTCCTGGTTATCGAGTTAAGATTATGTTCTAGAAAGATGCTTGGTGTGGCAAAGTACCATTTCAAACAAAATTCCCTCATTTGTATTCATTAGAATCGGTAAAATGTTGCATGTTGGAAGATCATATTTCAAGGAACGGTTTCTCTTGGACGTGGAGATATAAACCAACAGGAGTAGTAGAATTAAAGGAGCTTCATCAAATTTATATCAAGATCAGTAAGTTGAAGACATAGTACACGTCCACGTACGACTTCAATTTCACATTGAATTCCAAAGGGGATTACATAGTAAATACCATGAGGATGCTATTAAAATCAAAAATGATTTTGTTCGAAGGGAATACATCTGTTGATCCAATATTATTCCTCTAAAAGTTAGATGCTTCATTTGGAGAGTTGCAATGGGTAGGATCTTGGTGGCGGCCACTCTGTCAACAAGGGGAGTCAACATACCAAATAACACATGCTAATTATGCAACAAATTGATTGAATTGGTTGACCACACACTCGTTACTTGTGACTATTCCCTGGTGGTGTGGGATTAGATACTTAAGTGGTATGGGATTACAAGTAGAAGATTCACATCCGTAAGGGATTTCATCGACCTCGCGGATGCCTGGGGGAATTGCCAAAAAAAAAAGAAATCTACTTTAAGTATGGTGTTTTACTGTCTCATTTGGAACATGTGGTTGGCCAGAAATGAAAAAATATTAAAGAGGATTGGCACACCCCCAAATAAAACAACTGACAACATCATTTCCTTGTCGATTGCATGGTTCAATACAGAAGCAACATTGGAGGAGACATGTAACGCCTGCAGATCTGGGCTAGTCAATTTAGAGATGATAAGCATCAAAAATGACTTTTTGATGGAAGATTATTTAGAAGGATTAATCTGAACTAAGTTATAGTATATGTTACAAGGATTCTGTACATATAAAGAACGCCGAAATCCGAGTTATAACGAAGAAGTTATGACCTATCAAAGTTTCGCGAAAGAACCGGCACCACACAACGCGACGTAAATAGTGAATTGAAGATCTCATCGATAATAGTGCAACGACAGAAAGTCAGACGAAAACGGACGTCAGACGAAGGAGTTATGAGTTTATAACGGAGTTTTTCTGTCCCGACCTACTAAAAATAATATAATAAAAACAAATTCAAAAATAGCCGACGGAATCTAAATGAAGGTAGTAGAAATTGTTTTTACCTACGTGTCGATATAAAGAACGTCGAAAACGGAGTTCGTATGCGAAAGTTATGAATTTCTGAAGTTCGGGGCGCGAAACCCCAAAACTGTCAGATACCTCCTGGAGTCCCCCAGACGCAACTTGCGATGACGCATGCAGGGATGACCAAGCCCACGACATGGAAAAAGGTGCCACGACGTGGCAAGGGCAAATTTTGCCCTATAAATATATTTGAAGGGCCAGCCGAGTTTGGTTTCTCATTCTCTCATCTCTTACCTGTATTGCATCGATTTACGTGTAAAGAAATATCCCCGAAGCCGCGGTATCAACCCCGAGACCCGAAGCAAGTCCTGAAGCCCAAAGATCCCGAGAAGAAAAGAGTTTCCGAGCCGAAGCTCTGTCCGCGAGAAACCCGGTGTGTGAAGTGATCCCGGTTTCACTGAAGAATACTAGTCTTAGAGCCATAGTGCTGTCCCATCATCTTCTGAGCAAGTGAGTGTATAGTCCCTTTCATAACATGATTTGAATACAAGTATTGTGTGAATGTATTAAGTATATGCTTTGGGTGAGTATGTGATCACTTTCTTCTAACATATATATATATATATATATATATATATATATATATATATATATATTAAGTATTTGCTATTAAATACATGCTATGTGTTTATATATTCTTGTTTATTTGAGATGAGTGTGGAATGAATGTTTTATATAGGTGTTAAATGAGTTAATTTGTACATGTATTTTATATCTACAAATATGTTGGGTAGAACATGGGTAGATAAATTAGATTTGGTGTGATCCTAATTAGGTGATGATAATTAGGTGATGAGAAATAGATGATGATAAATAGGTGATGTTAGATGAGAGGAGATACCATATCCTTGACCGGCGATGTGGCAATTTGGCGATGTAGTCATCTACCAGAGTATAGATGACGACAACGAACTATTCTAGATGACCCCGTAGAAACACCAGCAGGCTCATAACCTATAGGTGATGAATTACGAGTTCAGGCAATGTTGTAACTACGTATTCATGCAATGATACTCTAACCCTTACAAT